GGGAAAAGAAAGAAAATAAAGAAATTTCGATTAAAATTAGGTCACGAGGCACAGAAAGCCTCGTCACGCTGCGCAGTATGCGAAATGAAATTTAGACGATCAAAATTTTGGTGTTTTCTGAAACCGTATAGATATTGGAATGAAATTTACCTTAAGAGTTTAATATTGTCTTTCTTTTTTTGAAAGTATTTTAAGTCAAATAGGCCTAATAGGGCTCCTTTCAGGATTGGGCACAAACATGATCAACTTTATTATATTTTAAACATCTCAAAAACTATAATAGGTAGCAAAATAAAAGCTGTCTTCCTTTTTTTGTAAGTATTTTGTGTTGAATAGGTCTAATAGGCCCCCTCTCGAGTTTGGGCCCAAACATGATCAACTTTTTATTTTTTAAATATCTCAAAAACTATAATAGGTAGCAAAATAAAAGCTGTCTTCCTTCTTTTGTTAGTATTTTGTGTTGAATAGGTCTAATAGGGCCCCTCTCGAGTTTGGGCCCAAACATGATCAACTTTTTATTTTTTAAATATCTCAAAAACTATAATAGTTAGAAAAATAAAAGTTAGGATACAAAGTACTTATACCATGCCATTAAGATTGAGAAAGTTTTGTGGCACTCTACCGGTTCTGAAAATACCGACCAACACAGTGTGCGTTGGTCAAAACAGTATTGTCAGAATGTGTGCCTATTGAGGCTAAATATTTCTATTTTATTTAGAACACGTTTTGAATTTAGGTCTTAAAAAGTATTCAAAATAGTAGTTAAACTACGAAACCAACAATTTTGTTATGACTATATATATAAGATGCCTTTTGGTCATGATCAAAAAGAGTATCAAATTGAATCGACCATTTGCCATATGACTGTCAATATAACGTGACCCACCCGTAAAGAAGAAGAATTGTAAAACTTTATCCAAAAAAATTCAAAATAATTTATTTCAATATATTTTTCCCATAAAAATAATAAACTATTGAACTTTCAATTTATAAATTTAGTGAATAAAAGAGAAGTTAAATGCTTTATTAATTCTTATTGGATTGCAACTAATTCCAATCAGAAAATTATTGATCCCATCACTTGCAGTGCCTTTCAAATGTTAATTCGAACAAATTCAAACCGAATGCCAGCAAAACTAAAACTGCATAAGATTTCAGTCAACATTTCAAAGCAACGAATTCAGCATAAATCAAAAGATAAAACAGCAACAACAACAACAACAACAAATATTTTGAAAATTTTACAAAATGTAATCAATTGAAAATAATTTGCATTAGAAGCCAAAAACGGTAAAAGTAACAATCGTCAAAGACAGACACTAAAACACAAAAGTCATTGAACAAAAAACAAAAGCACGAGAGCAGCAGGACAAGCAAGAGCAGCAAGGAAGGTGACATGGCAGGCAGCAAGTCAGGATGCGTGAAGTGAGACGATGTTGCGCGAAGTGGGGGAATATTTTAATTTACAGCAGCCACAACAAAATCATTCGTTAAAATCAAATTAACAACTCAGCAAACGAAGACAAAGAATTCTGTTGTTGTGCACTACGGTGGGTGGCGATGGAGCTTGTGCGTGGCTGGAGGGGGAGCAAGTACGGCTGTCAGAAATGCAAACAATGACAAATGCAAACATTTTTGTTTAAATTACCGTAACTGCTCCCGTGAGCTGCAAACGTTATTTAATTGTATGAAATTTGCTAAATAAATAAACTCACACACACACACCCGCACGCATACCCATGCACATATACAACACACTCTGACTGATATAATTTTGAATTTGCCACACAAGTTTGTGTACGAAAATAGAAATTTTCACGTCACAACGCCGGAAAAAAGTCATTGGAAAGCAACAACGACAGACGCACTTTAGACGCCCGCAGGTGAAATGTTCTGGTGGAGCAGAAAGGACGCCGTTCCACAGAATTCCAGCATCCAAAACGGAAAAACGGAAAAACGGAAAATCGTTCGAAATAAATTTGTGAAAAATTAATTTAGTGTGGAAATTTTTGTGTATTTTGCGTTCTTTATTTTTCACACGGAACGACGGTCCAGACGGAACGAGTTAAATGTAGCGTGGAGCGAATGGATTTAATAAAATCATAAATTGATGAGCTCCATCTCCAGCTTCAGGAGCTACGGAACAACAGAACAGAAACAAAAATTGATCTGATTTATTTAATGAAAAAGTTTAGTATTATGAAAACGAGCTAATCCTTGCAATCATAGACAGGATAGTAACCACAATCCGTCCTTGTAATGAAGAATAAAAAATGGAAAGAATTTAAAGAAGGGAAAGAATTGTTCCTATTCCTAATAAGAGATGCTGCCATCAATTGATATCTGAAGACGGACTGACTGGACGGTGAATATATATATACTCTTATATAAATATAAGAATATGTTAGTTAACTCTTTTTAACTTTTATCAGCTATGATCTGTGTTTAGTTCCATATTAAAATTACCAGATATCCCACAGAGTTGATTTCCTCATTATACTAAATATCAGTGAATCCAGTAAAAACTGTGATCAGCATTTATTATATTGCACTAATTTTTCTAATTTCATAATTAGTTTTATTTCTCGTTATCTTTAGCAAACGTCCAATGCTGTCACATAAAAATTTATCTCATGAAGCTTCTATAGGCACAGAGTACATCGTTTTTTAACGTAATAATCTGCCATTAAGGCTTTTCACTAAGGTGCTTTTAACACACGTATTAGTATATTGGAACGATAAATGCCGCATCTAAATTCCAACGAATTCTGTTATATGTTTGGTTATAATTTTCCCTATCGGAGGGACCGATGTTCATCTCACACCTCTGTTACTCTCTGGGATATAGCACTCGCTTGGAGAAATCAAGTTCACATCGAATGAAAGTAATGAATACAGTTATTCTAACTGCGTAACTTTGAGGTTTATCCACAGCTAACACGATACTCCCTTCGAAGGAACAAACCTCAACTGGTCAGAACAGCCGAAGTTGTGTCACAATCATCGCATCCGTGAGTTGTTTTTAGTCCTTAAACTATACAAACCTTCTTGTGGTCTTACATCTACCGATTGAGTAAATTATATTGCTACGAAATGACTTTTTTATATGTTTCTTTAAAGATCAGATTAGAATAAAATATTTATTAGGCTTCACCCAATTACTTCAATGCAATTCATTGGGAAATGTTTAAAGCCTATTCCAGACCTCATAGATGTATGTATATTGGTCGACACATAATAAATATATTTTTCCGCAAATTTCATTTTAATTATTATTATATTTACAGCTTACACATATGAAATTGATAAGATAATAGATAGTTCTTAGTCAATTGTTTGTTATGAAGTTAAAATATTTTTTTATTAAGGAAGAACCAAATTTTTTGAAGTAGTACTTGCTAAAATATCATAAAATGAGAAACCATGAAGACTTTGAAGAAATACTCATTGATAGTTTAAGGCATGATTGGGTTTAGACTAAATTTAGCATTTCTGTAGCATTTCTGTGGTGTAGCATTTCCAAATCATGTTACTATCTCTCAAAGTGTAACAGCCCATAATTTTTCAGTTCAAAAGTTTTATGTATTAACTGGGTAATTTAGGTAATCTGTGTTAAAAACACACCGATCAAAATTTTTTTTATTTATTAAATAATAGGCTATGAGTGCACCCCGAGCTAAAAGATCTTTTGTGCGCCCATCAAAATTGATTGGGTATGTGTTTTCCTTTTGGTATTAGTTTAAACTGCTTTCGAGGTAGGTGGTAAGCATCGAAAGCCACAGTGTAAGACTTGAACCTAATTCAATTATTTATTGGGAACGCGTTGAAAAGATCTCAGCTATCAGGCTATGAATAATTTCCGACTAAAACCGCATTCTAACAATCAATCTTAATAAACGTTTCCAGCAGTAGACCTTCCAGGAAAATATTTTTTGACAGCTTTTCAGATTGATTATTGGTTCAGACGGAAGACCTATTAAATTATTCAAGTTCGATCTGATGGATTTAGTCTATATCTTAATGTTTACAACAAACCAATCAACCAGACCTTTCATATACTTATATTTTGAATCAAGCCTTCTGCGCATTAAGTTTGGATTTATAACGCAATACAAATTGTGCTTGTAATACTATTCTTTTAGGAAGACTAATAAACATAAGCTTGAATTTATTACTTGAAATTGAACTAAAACTACCATTACCGACTTTAAATGCGTAATCCTAGAATATTCTACAATTCCAAATCTATGACATCAATTCTCATTTGAATCTTAATTTTCTTTGTAATTTAAACCCTTGTTTTAAGTATGTAAAATATTAATAAATTTAGAACAACTGACTTAAATTCTTTGTAGTAAATCCATCAAATAAATACAAACGAATTGTATTGTATATATTATGTAGGTACGTCCTTAAGAAATGAGTTTTCTCTAAAATGTCAGCAGAAATAGTAGTCTTTACTATTAAGCGTCCAAATGTTCGTGTTTATAATTTTTATAGCATACTTTTTGGATTACAAGAAATATTCAAATGAAGCTGTGTTTAACGCTCATAACGTCTCAAATTCTTCAAAAGTGGCTTAAAAAGGTTATACCTAAAATTTCTAGATTTGTGATTTTGAACATGCTTGGTTAGTTTAACGCTTCCAGTTGATACATCTGTAGATCTAGCGATATAAGTCTATATAAGTCTATGAGCATATCACTTAATTTTTTAGCTAGATGAATGAATATTTCGCAGAACTCTTAAGGTTGCTTTCATTTATTTATTCCTTTATTCCTTCAAATATGTTGCCTTAGCTGTCAACAAATAATTTAGTTCCGCAGAAAGTTTCACTTTATCTAACAAGTTTAAAATTTATATCAAAAAAATATTTGATTTCTTTTTCAATAATAATCGATATTTATTCTGTAATGAAAATTTATATTTTATATTTATCCTAGTACATTGCAGTATGCTTAGTTTTTTTTAAAAAAAAGTTATTGTCGATAAAATACTTCAAGATTCTAAGATTTTATTCAAAAATTTGTTTGTGAAAACAGGGACGGAAATTTAAGTGCTTTAATATTCAGATTCAGTAAAATTCAGATTATTTTTCGGATTTTAAAAACTTATTGAAAAAGGATGGGTAACATTTGCTCTTCATTAATCACACCATCGGATATGAAAATAAATATGTCCAAGCCACTTTTAACGTAAGTTTCTAATAGTTTATAACAAATAAGCATTACGTCGAAGTATTTAATTTTTTAGTCACAACAATGAATTGCCACAGGGACAGAATAATAATCTTATTCCCAAATCGACTTGTAGCTGCCATATTAAGAGTAAGAAAAGGCTTCAACCAGGAAAAAGAAAAAAACCTATCGGAAACTCACTTAAACGCAAAAATAAAGCTGTTCGGAAGAAAGTAAAAAAACTGGGTAAGTCTGCTAAAAACTTAATGAGTAATTCAATAACAGCAAATCAAGAGCAGGAACAACTTGATGAGGAAGACTTGTGTTGCTGCAGTACTCAGAGTCTTCCCATTACAGAAGTTGTTTCTAACGAAGAATATGAAGAATACTCTGATCAATTTATCAAGCAAGGAAAACGTAAGAGGCAATGTAAAATGTCCAAAAAGGCTAAAAAAAGAACAGTGAAGAAAAATAAAGTTTGTCAAAGACTGTGCTGTCGTTGTAAAGCTGCTAACTGCTCTATTACCGAAAAACTGTTTTCTAGTCAAAAATCAAAGAAGACGAAAAAAGCTAAGAAGTACAAGAAAGCTGGAAATAATACATGCCGTAATAGTACAGATAATTGCCTACCTGCAGAAGAACTAACTGTTGAACAGGACCATTTGAATGACCACCGAAGCAAGCAAGAGAAAGGAGAAGAGTGTTGTCAACTTGGTGGGATGTTGAGACAAACAACTAAACCCAAAAAAGTTGTGGTTGTCTAAAGGAACCAATAATTAACATTCCAAAAATAAGCAATTGCAAAATTTTGGTACTACTTTTAAAAATTCAATATAAATCTTAAAGTGCAGTTGTGCATCACTAAAATGCATTCATTGGAATAACAAAAAACAACATATTACCATAACATCTATTTTAGATACATACAAAATGAAGGTTCGGGATTTTCTATGTATAAAAACTTTGTTTTCGAATATTTTATCTACAAATTTGATTATTTGATTTAAGTTTAAACAGTTTAAATAGTGTTATAGATTAACAAGAGCTCCAAAATTCTGTATGATAAAATTTCATAAAGATTAGAAGCATCAAAACAAGTTTCATATAATTGTGAACAAATAACTATGTATGGATAGCAAACTTATTCTTCTTAACGGCACTTAATTCTAAAACGTCTAGGGGAATAAAAATTCTTAAGTTATTCTAAAGTGAATATAGAACATAAAACTAAAATAAATAAGTGGTAAAGACCACTGCAATATGGTACAATTCTCCAATTCCACAGAAGAATTATCATATCAACATCTCATAGAGAACTATTCGTTATTAGAAACTTAAATGAGTTGTTGTCCTGTCAGTTTGAATAATTCTTGTTGTTGTTGTCCTGTCCTGTTATTTTCTAGTGAATTCTAGTGAAATAGTTTTTCTAATATAATAAAATGTGAAATACATTAAGTTTTATACCAAAATTTTGTAAATATTGCTAGGATACCATATATTTTTTGAGTCACTCGATTTACTTCGTAAATCCTAAAATTCATTTAACTGTTCTTGGATGATAATGGCGAGCTTGTAATAAAAAACGTTTGCATCTATTATCATCTGTCTTTACATATAGATAATTTTTTCTTCATCTTATTTGGCATTACAGTTCAGTGTGAACCTTGACTTTCCTTATATTCGCATCACTCCTAATTTAGATAATCTATAATTTCATAATAGTCTACAATCATCTATAATCACTTCATTATGCTTCATAGGATTTGAACCAATCTTACTAAATCTTCAATGCAGTTTACTCGCTATTTGATATATGCAAATTTTTAGACTAGTTTCCGATAGTAAGCTACTCTCTGGTTCATTGCTCTGGTACACATTTCAAAGCAGTTGCATTATGAGTTTGAGGTAAACAAATACCCTAGTTTTTATATAATATGCGTATTGTCATCTATCTATCTACAAGAAAGATTGGAAATGATAAAATAATTAATGCCAAGAAGAAGCAAATATAATAATTAAAATAGTACTAGAAAATATGGCTGAATAAAATAATTTGATCTTATATCAAAAATTCCATCGGGAAGTACAATACTGCCGTTGTTTTTGAAGTATATATAAAGTTATTATATCAACGCATTGGGTAGAAGGACCAATGCTATTCTATTATTTATAAAACGAAATAATTCTTGAGAAACTATATCTATTTTTTTACTACAACTAAATAATGCCAGAATGTAGTGTAAATTATACAACCTGGTATTCTTAGCTTTATTGTCTGAAAAACTAACTTATATATATATACATATATATTTTTTTTTTAACTAAAAATATCCTCACAGTGTTGTCATGTATTAATTCTAAACATATTCCCTTCTTGTTTAGAGGGAGCGGTTATTCTAAAGAGGTAAGTGACTTACGAAGTCATCCATTATATATGTTTTATTGTAATTTTCTTTTTCGTAAATGATGTTCTATGACATACCACTATCTAAAAATTTTTATTTATATGTTATATATATTCAACAAAAAGACCTAAAGTGAATTGATTGCTTGATAATACAAATACAGAATAATCGTTTAATATGTGTAATACGTATATAATAGATGGACGATTTAAGTTTCTTGGGGATGCATTAATTACGTTCTGATTACTGCTTAAGATAGAATCTATTTTTCGAATATTTTAGGTTATTACTTAGTTACCCTATAATGTAAGCAAAATTTATTTAATCTAACATTAATAATGAATCTGATATGTTATTTCATTGTTTAATATGCCTTTACCAGAAGTGGATATTTTTGATCTAATGGCGTCTTAGATTGGTAAATCTGGAGTAATTTTTTCAATAATGCACTTTTAGTGCAATTTTATTTTTGATTTGTAAATCTGTGGCAAAATGTATAGCACTTGAGATTAATTTAACTGAACAGAAGATATTCCATCTATCAACTGAAAGCTAAAATATCAGCTGTTAAGGAAAGTCTAATAACGGACGACTTTCCAGGTTCAGATTAAAACCGTAGAGTTGCAAAGAATGTGACTAGAAGTCTTACCTACTTTTTAAGTAGAAATAACATTCTGTCTTCAGACAGAACCGTCTTATTAAGATAACGCAGGCCGTGATGACACACCTTACAAGACAAATGCTACTTCATACAGTAACTTTTTGTATATCAAATGATATTATAGGTATTACAGCATATTGTTTGAGCATCAATTAACACTCCAGATGATTTGAAAGAGTAGCAACATTACTCTGAAATTAACAGCTGTTTTATATGATATGACAAGTAAACTGTGATTTGACTCGTTATATGTATTATGAAAAATATAAATGTCGACTTATACGAATAAAAAAATGTTAGATTACTCTAAAAGTGTTCGATTCGATAACAAAATTTGACAGATCGAGAGTAAATCTTGATTGAATCTAGATTTACCAAGAGAAAACGCCAAAAGTTACTGATGTAAATCTCATGTTTCGCATTTTTTGAGTCTTTCAATAGTAACCATGTTCCAGATTAACTTGAGATTATCCATTTTCGATTCTTCCAAAGCTGAAACTAAAACTTAGGTAAATATTAAATTATGTTAATCTTAAATTTGGTCTAGTCTGATTCGGTGATAGTCAATAAGACCATAAAAAATCTTTATCTGGCAGATGTGTCGAGTCTTAAAGCATTACTACTTTTTAAGAGTTTTGTCAATTTTTAAACAATTATAGTAAAATATATATTTATGAAGCGATGAGATTTATTAAACATATTAAAAAAAATTGATTATTGAATTCTGCTATAAGACTGCGCAATAATCTGATGAATAGTTGATGAATCCTTATAATTCACGATTAAGTTTCCTTCTGCCATATTAGTCCTTCAGTGCATGGATGTGGTCTGCATCTAATTAGATGCCAATGAGTCATGACTATTTCGTATGTCAAACGCAATTCGAATGTTCACTCCAGCGACTTTGTCTAATCACGGTTTAATAAATTTCAGTCGGCAGACGCGTTGACATTTGGTGTCATTCTGTTAGCATTTCCTTATGAAAATATTGTGCTTTGAGGAAATTCAATAAAAACACAATTTTTCTCTTCACTTGCACAATTACAAAATTCTGTGTAAAATTGACTTGAACTTAGCGGAATTCATCAATCATTTCAACGCGTCAAATGCCAGGCGTTCCACAACGCGGCGCTTTCCTTACTATAGTAAGGATAACAATTATTGTTGTTGCTGGTGAACACCCTTCAGACATGTCACAGTCCGTTTTGTTTTTACACGACTTTTTTTGCTAACATTATTCCACATAAATACGTAATGTTGTCCTTCCTGTTAATCCCTAAACTAATGTTGGCTCATATGTAATTTTCGCTTTGCGGTTGCTTCGCAGACTGTGATTCCTATGCTTCGCCATTGTTTTCCGTTGGTTATTATTGAGCCATGCTTTCAATACTTCCCAACCTATTTCTTGCATGTTAATAAACAATCAATAACGGATACCACTTTCTTGATTAAAAATGTGTTCGGCATTGGTCGAGTATGGAGTCCAACTGAGTGACTGACTAACATATGCGTACGGAAATGCCAAAATTATATCTACAAATATGGAGTTCAATGAAATTTTAATTATCAGATTTCTCTTGAAGACGTACTTCTAGAGAATTAAAGTGAAATTAAAGTAACGGATCCAATGCAGCACACACTTTTTTACACATTTTGGTAATGGTTAGATTATTTGTATAAATACATTGTTTGTTCTCGACACTTTTAATAGTCCGAAAATATGCCTACATGACTAGGCGACGAGATCCATTAGTCGCAATGTGACATCGCATGCAGATGATTGGCAGGCAATGACAAGTGAGTTTTTCGCCTATTTTCGTCGAATGCCTAAGCGTTCGAGACTAATTGTGTCGTCAAAACATATTTTGACATCTTCACCAATGCAAGTACCCCGCACTTTGCACTTCCTCAGTTTGCGCCAAATTGCTGCTAAGTACCTTGTGCGTTTGGCTTGGGCGTGAATTCTTAAATGTTTTATCGATGAATTTTGAAAGATATTCTCGATATTCGGAAAGTGTTTGTTTCTTTGTCAACGAAAACCAGCAGCGACATAATTAAATAATTTACTTGTTTCACACTAAATTTGAGATGTCAAAAACTCATTTCGCCCCTTTGACAATTATGACAATCGGTTTTATTCTCAGACAACAGCAGAAAAAATGGAAGAAAATGTGTCATTTGCCTATTTTGTGTGGATTTGATTGAAAAGTAACAAAGAAAAATTAAATAAATATTTACCCGAATTCTTTGTTAATAATATTGACAGTTTGTTTTAAATACATATCGCGCAACAAAAAAAAATATATTTTTATTTCAAATTTTTAAATTTTAAATATTTTTTATGCCACGACATCCTCCAAAAATAAACACGATTTCAAAAATATATAATAATTTTTCTGGTTAGTAAAATTTTTATTCTTCTACACAAATTCTAATGTTTGATTTAATATAATATTATTCATTAAATTTTGATATATAATATTGTATTATAAATAATAAGTCTTATTTTTATCACAAAAAATAAAAACTTTATTTTTTTAAATATAATTTTAATTATAATTATTAAAAACAATACACCATTGGAAGGACTCAATTTTTGACACTGACAGTCTTATAAACGAACCCACATACATATGTGGATAGTGTGAAGACTTCTCTGTGGAGATCAAGAAATACTAAAAAACATACGATCTTATTTAGCAGAAAAACATCACATCTCGAAAAATATTTCCTTATCTTTTATATTAGCTTAAGATTCAAGATCAGTGTATTGCGATACCATGTTTAATCGTCTAAACGGTTTTCATTTAAAGAGTTTTTAAAATTCTGGCTAATTTATTTCTATTAATAATATTGATTCATTCTTTACATATCGACTTCGTATGTTTTTCTAACTACCAAAGAGGTAATAATACGGTTATAATACAAATATTGGAAATTAGTCAGAAAATCAGCAAATTAATCAAATATTTATCCCATTTTTAACGACGAAAATGAAGTGTGTCCATCACCTTTCCGAAAAATTATTATTTTCTTTTACTCGTGCTGATAATATCAATTTAGGTAAAATTTTAAAATTTTAGTATCCCTTCTTCACAAAACCAGCAGTCTATTTCTATAAAGATGAAACTAATAATAGCTTGACATGTAATATCATTATTCTAAATAATAAGGAAGAAATCATTGAGAGTTAACATATAACAAAGACTTTGTGTCGCCTGTACGTTTTTATAAGTTACGAATTAAAATTAAAATACAAATATATAATATAATACTAAAAACTATAAGAATATAGGACGGAACTATTATTAGAGACCATAGCCCGCAAACATTCTTTTTTTTTATTTTTCCATATCTATTTAAAAAGGCTATGAGATATTGGCATTCAGAGATATGCGCCATTCAGCAAAATTCGAGTACAGACTCTCTTTCACCTCAATAGAATCGCTCATTTTTTGAAGCATTGAGCAAAGCGCCGTTGAAGAGATAATATCTTCTTTATCTCTTATATTACACAGAGTGCAGTAAGTCATGTTGTT